CCTCAGCCTTCCAAGTAGCCGGAACTACAGGTGCTCACTACCATGCCCGGCTAATTTTTTGATTTATTGTAAGAGATGAGGTCTCACCAAGTTGCCCAGGCAGGTCTCGAACCCGCGGGCTCAGGCAATCTACTCACCTAAGCCTCCCAAGGCACGGGATTACAGGCTGAGCCACGGAGCCCGGCTCTGATAGACTTTAATGCAGAATAATGAAACATTAAATAACCAGTTAATTAAAATGTGAATGTGTTTCTGAACATCTTTTGTGCAGAAGCTGAAGAACCCTCAGATTTAATTGGCCCAGAGGCTCCAAAAACACTTGCGTCTCAAGATGATAAACCTTTGAAGTAAGTAGCAGTGTATTCATAACATCTAAAGTACCTTCCATAAGTATCGTTCTAACTTACCTTGCCAAGTTTATCTCCCTCTATTCTGTTATGTATACCCCAGGTTCCAACTGAGCTGGTCTACTAAAAGTTCCCTGTATTTACTGTGCACTTTGCCACTTTTTTGCCTTGTTTAGCTTGTTTCTTCCCCCTTCTCTTTATTTCCCTGCCCTATTTTCTTTCCTACACACAATTTCATCCTATTAAAATCCTTAGCATCCTTCAAAACCCGTTTCAAAAGGAGAGGTATATACTGATTCCCTCCACAAATAGGCGTGATTTCTATTCCTCTTTAATTCTCACAGCATTTTCTGTTTCTCTTGCGCAATGTATTATATATTTTACTTTGTATTGTAATTATGTCCTTATAAATCTGTAAACTCTACAAGGATAGATATTATTTTTGTCTTGTAAGCTTTGAGTTTAATAGGTATTCAAGAAGCATTCACTAAACTGAATAAAGGAATGGCAGCTTTTAAAGTTCCTTTGAAAGAAAGTTAATAGGTAATTGTTACTGAATAGCATTATTATTGGCTATAAGTCTAAAAAGTATGTTAATTTGAGATATATTTTTTTACTTTGGATTTTTTTTAGGGGAGAAAGGGAAAGGGACCTAGCTGGGGGCAGAATGGCAATACCTATAGAGATAAATTAATTCCTAATTATAAACCATGAATCTACACTCACTTTTATCAGTACTTTTGTTCTTCTAAGGTGTCTCTGCATTTCAGAGTTAAATATATATATATGATAGTGCAGTGTCCACTAATTAAAGTAATTGTATTAACCAGCACACTACTGCTAAGCATTGTTGTTCCTACTGTTGTCTGAGAGAAAATGATTTTTAATGCTCTGTTTTGATTATGAACTTTTTATATTGAGATGGTTTAATGGACCCTTTCTGGATTCTGAATTACTTTGTAGCTATGGCCATGCTCTGTTACCTGGTGAGGGTGCAGCTATGGCTGAATATGTTAAAGCTGGAAAACGTATCCCACGACGAGGTGAAATTGGCTTGACAAGTGAAGAAATTGCATCATTTGAATGCTCAGGTTATGTAATGAGTGGTAGCAGGTATGTTCTTGGCATTGAGCTCAGTTTCCATGATTAGATCTTTTTCTTTCTTTCTTACTACTAGAATTATACTTTGGTAAGTGATTTTCATTAAGTGATTATTCCTAATGAAAAGTCGAGTGTAAATGTTGATTTGGTATTAGTTTTACTGGTATAAGCATTGTTGCCTAAAATTCTAAGTATATAGGCAACTCAGTTTCAAACTCAGCTATTTATCCAACTTCAAAGAATCAGTCTTTCCAGTGTCCTTTCCTAGTTTATATTTTGGTATAGATATTTTACCTACCAGAGGATATATTTAAATTCAGCTATTTATCACTGCTCTATGAGGAATGTGGCATTTGGTAGTTAGGAAAATATTCTCACAAGGCAGTAAGTATTTCCTGGTTTCTAAGTTTGCCTCCAGTCCTCTGTGGATCCAGGTTTCTGGGAGTTAGTAGCAGAAAAGAATTATGAAGACACTGGGGAAATGAATATAAAATTAGGAAAAAGAAAAAAAAAGTACCAGAATGAGGTGACCAAGCAGCAATACAAAAATCAAATTGAATTTTGGATTATTGAAAACTTTTTAAAATAGATAACTATTTTTAAATGACATTGGAGGCAAATATTTGCACAACCCCTGAAGCACCTCCAGAATCTTGGAATTCTGAGGACCAACATTTAAAACATTATATTAGAGGACAGCACAGTATTCAAGAAAAAGAAATTAGAGGCATTGGAAAGGAGGATATAGCAATGTCATGTTTTGTGCAAGATATGATTGGTTACATGGAAACATAGGAAATCCCAAAGAATCCTCATGTGAATTATAAATAAGAGGAGAGTTTAACAAAATGTTGGATATAAGGTTAATACACAAAAACCAATTGTATTTCTATATACCAGCAACAGACAACTAGAAAGTGTAACTAAATAAAAAGAAAATAACATTTATAACAGTATCAGAGAATATAAAGGCCTTGAGAATAAATCTTAACAAAAGATACCCCAAGATCTCTACAGAGAAAATCGTAAAACATTAGTAGGAGGCATTAAAGAAGACGTAAGTGGAGAAATACCATGTTCATGAATAGGAAGGTAGTGTTGTGAAGTTGTCAGCTCTTCCCAAGTTGATCTGCAGATTTAATACAACTCTGATCAAAATCACAACAGTTTTTCATGAAACTTAGTAAGCTGGTTCTAAAACTTATATGTTAGACTAAAAGATCAAGAATAGCCAGGTCACTTCTAAAGAAGAAGAGCAGAAAAGGTGATCTTTGCCCTACCAGATATGAGGACTTACTATGAAGCCTACAGCACTTTAGAAAGCATAGAGGAACAACTGAGCTGTTCAATGGGATAATACACAGAGCCCAAAGACAGAGACATGCATGTATGGAACTTTGGTGTGTGAAAGAGATGGCATGTCAGATCAGTGGGGAAAAAAAGAACCTTTTAGTAAATGAAATAGGAAAGAAATTATTGTCCATATGGAAAAAGATGAATGTAGGACCCTATATCACCAAATATAAAGAGTAATCCAACTAGTTTAAGGATTTTAAGAGCAGATATCTTTTAGACTTTGCAGTGAATAAGCATTTTTTAAAGAAGACCAAAAAAAGTAAAAATATTGATAAATTTGACCATAAAGTAAAATATTGATAAATTTGCCAGGTTAAAAGTAAAGTATTGACTGGGTGTGGTGGCTCATGCCTATCGAGACCAGCCTGGGCAACTTGGTGAGACCTCATCTCTACACGAAATCATATTAGCTGGGCATGGTGGCATGCGCCTGTAATTCCAGCTACTTGGAAGGATGAGGTGGAAGGATCATCTGAGCCCAGCCAGTCGAGGCTGCAGGGCAGAGTGTGCCACTGCACTCCAGCCTGGGAGACAGAGTGAGACTCCAACTCAAAAAATAAATAAATAAATAAATAAAGTAAGATATCAAAAGACACCTTAAAATAAGTAAAAAGGCCATTTGCAAGCTGGCATAAGATCTTGGAATATACACAACTGATAAAGAGTTCGTATCAAGAATATATCTGAAATACCTCTACAACCCAAAAGAAAAATAGGAAAATGAAACAGACAGGCATTTGTCAGAACAATAAATAAATACATATGGCCTATACATTAAAAAAGATGTTTATTATCATTGAAAATAGAAATCGAGAACATAGTAAAATATCATGTTACTCCCATTTGATAGACGAAGCTCAAAATTCTAACAATACCAAGCATTCGAGAGACTATAGATATACAGAATCTCTTAAATACTGCTTTTGGTGGTGTAAATTAGCACAAATGCTTTGGAAAACAATCTAATATTATCTTAGAAAGTTGAGCATTTATATACTCAATTTTCCAAGATAAAATATTTCCCAAATACTAGGAGACATCAACATGGCTGTTTATTACAGCATCATCCATGTAGCACTTTGTTTCAGTAAACAACCATACTCGCTGTTCCCTGAGCAATCTAAATACATTGACACCTCCCATCTTGTCACTTCTCCACCCTCACACTAGCCTGTAATGATGCTTCCCTCTTCTCCTTACCCAGTTTTTCTCCATTTTTCTAGACATGGCTCAAGCTTCTTGAACTGGTTATAGGAAAAGAGGCAGGTTTTCTCTTGAAGAAGTGATTATGATGTCATAGTTTCCCTCTGCTTCTATTCCTGTGCTTTACTGATTTTGCCCTTGTGCTAAATCCTTTCCTTCTTTTCTTTTAGCCACTACTGGATTCTAAAGAAGTTAAATACAGACTGAATTCAGTGGCTTACGCCTATAATCCCGGCATTTTGGGAGGCTGAAGCAAGAGGATTGCTTGAGTCCAGGAGTTCAAGACTAGCCTGAGCCCAGGAGGTTGAGGCTGCCATGAGCCATGATTATGCCACTGCAGTCCAGACTGGGCAACTTAGTGAGACCCCAACTCAAAAAACAAAAAAGAAGTTAAATCCACTCCCAAACCAAAACTGTTCTTTGATTATAGATCTAGACTTGGTTCTTTTGGTTGTGTGGTAAATTAGAACCTTGAAGAAGTTCCACCTTCTTGATGACAAGTTAAACCTTTCATCTCTCTTCAATTCCACAAAGACAAATAGACATATCACCTAGGAAATTTAATAACTTGCTCATTTCTGGTTGTTTTACTGAAAACAAACTAGACTTATGCCCTTAGTATTTGAAATTAGTGATAGCATTCACTGTGTCAACAGAACTTCAGAAATCATTATTTGAATACTAGAAATGAATCAAAGGGCATGTCAGACAGATAAAACAACTAACTTTTTTGAAATTTAACCCATTTCTAAAGCAGTTTCTATTTGTCAGCTTTTAAATAGATGACTCTGTACTAAAGGATTAATGAGGACATTCTATGAGAATAATTACTGAGAAATTAAGCCAAAAATAAAATTTTTTTCAGGCATCGCCGAATGGAGGCTGTGCGACTGCGAAAAGAGAACCAGATCTATAGTGCTGATGAGAAGAGAGCCCTTGCATCCTTTAACCAAGAAGAGAGACGAAAGAGAGAGAACAAGATTCTGGCCAGTTTTCGAGAGATGGTATACAGAAAGACCAAAGGGAAGGATGACAAATAAGGATTTTCTGGTTGCTCAGCAGACATTTTTAACAATGAAAATGTCCAGATTCTACATGTACACACAAAGATTGTCATGTTCTGAAAAAGCTTTACAGTGCTCCTGTGCCTTCTATTTAATTCTTTCAGTCCTTCAATAAAAAGCTGTTGATTGATATAACTTTAGCAAGTTCTATGGGCAATTTTGGATTGACCATAATAACTTTCTGGTTCAAAAACCCAAATTGTGAATGAAATCCTACTGTACTGGGGGAAGTGGCATGGAGAGAAAGTATCAGTGAGGACAAATTTCAATCTCACATCACAGGACAGTGCTACTATTATTAGCAATACTGTTTTTGTTAAGGTTGTTTTCATCTGCATTATTATGCCTACCCTACCCCCACTTCTACCCCAAATGAACTTGTGGGAAATTATCATTCCTCTGTGTTTGATATGTTATAAATGGACCTGATAGAAACATATAGGAGGTCACTTTAGTTAACAAAATGAAAGCATTGCTGAAAAAAGCAAATCTGGAATTTGAAAACTGGCATATAATACAATATATGGTTCACCCCGGAAATAATGTATTTTTATTTAAGTCCCTACCTCCACTCTAAAACCAACAAACAAACCAAAAGGCAAACTAACTCACAGACTTGTTGAATTAAAAATATGAACATTAGGTTTTCAAAATTCTTAGTAAGTTACTTCAAAATGGTTCTTTCAAATATAAAGTCTTGAGAGGTCTACTGTTGTGCCAATGTAAGTACTAATGTAAGTTCAGTCTGAGCTGTACTTTGATGACAGGTTAACATCTAAAAAGATGAGAAAGTCAACTATGGTCAAGAATCCTGATAGGGAAAGAGATAATGAATCAGTATTTTAACTTAGTTGTTTCATAAAAATAAAGCTAAAATTATATGAAACATTTTTTTAGCTCTGTCCTTTATGTAATAAGTATATTTTATTTTAAACATCGTTAAGCCTTTCAGTTTTTTTTTTACATCTGCCATTCAGTTTAATCCCTAACTTTGTATTAGAAACCCCCCCAACTTTATCATCTTTTTATTCTATTATTGACTTTTAAGTGCGGGAGAAATGGAAAATTCTGGGTCTATGAGATCACAGTCTTATTCCTTCAGTTATTTTGTTCAATTTTAGTTGAATAAAGTGGGAGGGGACAATGGAAGTTTTGGCTATTTTTGTTAAGGTTGTTTTCATGTGCATCTTTCCTAAGACAGATTTAAATTATCTGGGTGATGGAGAAATTCTGACTACACTGTTATAAAATGTCCTCTTATAATAATTTAAAGTGACTGTTTTTCAAGTTTTAAAGTAAAGCAGTCATATTTCAAAGTATAGAACAGAAGTTGTGTTATTAAGTAGTATTAATAGTATTAAATACTATTAAATGTTAAACATATGTTCTAGGAAAATGTCTACTTTTAACCCACAACTACTGAACAAAGCAGTAGTCAGCATGTAGCAACATTTATGATCCCTGAATTTAAAGTTATTCCTAAAAAAATAAAAATAAAAAATAAAAAAATAAAGTTATTCCTATTTATTTATACATAATCATAGTTATTGCCTAGCCTAGTAAATCTATAGTTTCCAGAAGTTAAAAAGAAATGAGTTCCCAAACCTGTGGTTTTTAATTCATTTATTTCCTGATATAATAAAACCTGAATTTTATAATCTTCATTTTAAACTTGTATTCTCAGGCCAGGCATGGTGGCTCACGCCTGTAATCCCAGCACTTTGGGAGGCTGAGGCAGGAGGACTGCTTGAAGTCAGGAGTTCAAGACCAGCCTGGACAACATAGCAAGACCCCCATCTCTACAAAAATATATATATACACACACACAGTTTTATATATATATATATATATATATATATATATATATTCTAAGGACATTATTTTTTGTTACTGGTTCCTACAGACTGAATTATTATCTAATTTTCTGTAGGCAAGGTAATTTAAATACAGCAATTTTGTGATATATGAATATTATGAATTTTCATTTGACTATTCTGTCTCCTCCACAGAGTAGATACTCAACAAATGTTTGCTGAGTAAATGAAAGAAAAGATAATTTATTGCAGAACTTTGCCATTTCTTTCATTAGGGTTTGTTTGGGAAAGATCTGCCAAAGAACAGCTTCAATGGCATATTCTTTGGGAAAGAGGAGGGAAGAATAAAAGGGCTAAAAATATTTTATTTTCAGCTGTGAGTGTTACTGCTTCAGACTGTGTTTAGTCACCTGAGCCATAAGTCAAGTTGTTAAGCTATTGCATTTTAAATACATTTGTTCTCCAAGGAAGTTTATCTCATGACCCACCTTCTTGCCTATTGCTCTGATAGGATTTTCCTGCCTTTTTTATTTATTGCACAAATATAACAGTAAAAAAAAAGTTATAGTGTACCACATTAATTGCTTTTTGTATTCTGTGTTTCTTTCCAGTGCTTGTCTCTGTAAATACATATTCTGATGTACTTGTAAAGTAATCACTCAGAGTATAATATAATTTTGTCTTTGGTGTCTTAAAATTGTGCAGTCAGGCAAGGGAGCTTCACAGGGAATGTAAGAACAATTGATGATCTGGTGTGAGGATGGGAAGAAAACCAGAGATAAGTAAGGGTGTTGATTGAACCCATACCTGTTTTATTGCCCCCAGTCCTCAAGCCAACCCTGCTGCCATCACGAGTGTGACAATGTGTTATGGAAGGCAGCAGCCTGGTTTCAGAGTTTCAAAATGTGGTGTTTAACAATGAGACCTCATGCACAGTAAATGAAAGGGTCTGTGAGTAGGGGCACCCATCAGACTGGTTGTATTGTGAGCTGTAGAACTGTTGCCATTTTGTTGTTTCCCAGTTGTGTCCATAAAGAAGTGTGTCTGAACTGGAGATGTAGGCTCAGATGGGGGAACAAGCAACCAAGTACCAACCTTCGTTTGGTCTGACAGGTGAGTTTCAGCAACTCTCTAAACTCAGCTCTGTACTGACTCTGAAGTGATGCATATAGTGATGGGAAAAAATCTTTTAGAAAATAGAAAACAACGTACTGGTTACTCTGCTAATGTGATGGAAACTGCAGAATGGAAAATGAATGAATGCAAAAAAATACAGCTGGATTGTGTGTACCACAAGTTTATTATTCAATAAATATTCTGTGATTTAATGTTCAGTATTGTATTTTAATAATTCTGATTACAAAAACAATCCTAAGACATTATTGGAAAATCAGACAATTGAATCAAGAGGAATTTGATTTAGTAAAATATTTTTGGCCTCAATCATGTCCCTTGTCCATCTTTCTCGAAAGCGAGTTGCTCCTGGTCTACAGAGGAAGAAAAACAAACACACCAAAAGCTTTTAAAATCAAAACATTGAGCTAGGGATTCCCTATTTACTCTGTTACATTCCTAATAAACAAGAAGCCTCTTTTATTGGTAGGGGAGGGGAGGTAGCAAGGTCTCTCTCTATTTGTTATTGTTTCTTAGGTTCAGTCAATGAAAGGATTTTTTTTTTTTTTTGAGTTGGAGTCTCACTCTGTCACCCAGGCTGGAGTGCAGTGGCATACTCCTGGCCACCGCAGCCTCGACCTGCTGTGCTCAGTCGATCCTTCTGCCTCAGCCTTCCAAGTAGCTGGAACTACAGGCATGCGCCACCATGCCTGGCTAATTTTTTGAATTATTGTAGAGATGAGGTCTCACCAAGTCACCCGGGCTGGTCTCAAACCTGTGGGCTCAGGCAATCTTCTCACCTCGACCTCCCAAAGTACTGGGATTATAGGCATGAGCCACCACGCATGGCCAAAAGGATTTTTTTTTTTTTTTTTGAGTCGATGTCTCATTCTGTCATCCAGATTGGAGGGCAGTGTCATGATCACAGCTCACTACAGCCTTAAATTCCTGGACTAGTCGGGCGTGGTGGTTTGTGCCTGTAGTTCAACTACTTGGAAGGCTGAGGTGGAAGGATCTTCTGAGCCTAGTAGGTCAAGGCTGCAGTAGATGTGAACATGCCACTGCACTCTAGCCTAAGCAATAGAGTGAAACTGACTCAAAAAAAATTTTAAAATCCTGAGTTTACATAATCCTCCCTTCTCAGCCTCCTGAGTAGCTGGGACTGCAGGTGGATGCCACTAAACCCAGCTGATTTTTATTTTTTATTTTTTTTAGAGACAAGATCTTGCTAAGTTGCCCAGCCTGGTCTCAAATTCCTGGGCTCAAGCAATCCTCCCGCTTCGGCATCCCAAAGTGCTAGGGTTACAGGCATGAGTCATTGTGCCCAGTCCAATGATAGGATTAATGAACTTATTTGTAAAGATTCTTTAAGAGAGTCACTATGCAAATAAAAGGGATTATTATACACAAGTTAATTTTATGTGATTTCAAAATTTCCCATAGAAACAATAGACATGACCCACCCTACCCTAGCAACTAATCTTCAAGTTTATAATCACTGGAAAACCAGATACTAAGAAAAACCGTTTTCTAGAACAATGGCAGAGTCCTAATTGGACCCATTTTAATGCGGTGGGTGGTCCAGAGAAGAAAAGTGACCATTATATGAATTATCTGTGGTTATACACCTGCTGGATTCCTAGAGTGTGATGACCTTTCTCCCACCCTTTTAAAATAAGTCTCCAAATATGCATTACCTGTGCAGTAATGAATGGAACTCAAAGATATAAGAGACATCAATAGGTGCATCCTAAGAAAGAAAAGGACAACTGTCAGCCTAGAGCAGTCATACCAGTTTTTACTCCCTCTCATCCCTATACTTGTATACTTGTCCCTATGTATAATCTTGAATCTCCAGTATCCATCTTTCTTATGAATTGGAAGTCTGGAGGTGGTGGTTTTTATGTCACTTCAAACCTGTTCCCCAAGAGATCTTTTTGGCGACAAATGCCTTAAGAATCTCCACAAAATTGTAAGCAAAAATGAGGCTTGTGCTCCTCATTAATGGGAATGTAAGTTGTTTATCTTCTTTATGTGCTCCAGTTTACTTAACTGATGATCTCTACCTCTTAGGAATGGCATGAGAATAAAATGGTCTAGGTGAAAAGGTTCAAAAGCATTTTTAAAGCAGCCTCAAGCCAGGCGTGGTGGCTCACATCTGTAATCCCAGTACTTTGGGAGGCAGAGACAAGAGGATTGCCTGAGTCCAAGGATTCAAGACCAGCCTGGGCAACTTGGCAAGACCTCATTTCTACAATAAATTATTTTAAAAAGTGGCTGGGCGTGATGGCGCATGCCTGTGGTTCCAGCTACTTGGAAAGCTGAGGTGGAAGGATCACCTGAGTCCAGCAGTTTGAGGCTGCGTGCCATTGCACTCCAGCCTGGGCAACAGAGTGAGACTCCTACTCAAAAAAATTTTTTTTAAATCGGCATCAAAATGCAGGTTGTAATATTGTTTCAGTGGTCCCTACCCATTCTCCCATCCAAAATTAGACTTGGAATTTTGGGCAATAGCCATTGTCCCAAGACCTCTCTCTGTATGGTCTTTGGTATGATCTTCTTCGCCTCCTCTAACTTTATTTCCCATTCTCTGACCTTGCCATTTAGCAAGGCAGCTGATGGAGGGATATATGACCCAGAGGGATGAGATCTTCACATATTGTACCTCTTTAGATTACTCTGGGTTCCAAACTCTCTGAATAAATACATTTGGTCTAGGATAGGTTGAGTATAGGACATAGTTGGCTCGCTGACTGTGGTCATATACAAAGTCTTTTTTGTTGTGTGTTTGAGTCTGAGTCTCTGTCACCCAGGCTGGAGTGCACTGGCACAATTGTGGTTCACCACAGCCTCAACCTCCTGGGTTCAGTCCATCCTCCTACCTCTGCCTCTTGAGTAGCTGGGACTACAGGCATACACCACCACACCTGGATAATTATTTTTTTTTTGTAGAGACAAGGTCTTGCTGTGTTGCCCAGGCTGGTCTTGAACTTCTGAGCTCAAGAGATCCTCTCACTTCAGCCTCCCAAAGCGCTGGGATTGCAGGCATGAGCCACCACACCCGGCCTCAAAGCCTTAGAGTCAGGTTGAGAGGCAAATAACTTTTGTGAAATGATGGGAAGGGAAAGGGACAATAAAATGTTTATGTCTGTTGTGTTCCAGGCATTATGGTGGGTACCTGCCCTGCTCCTCTGAGAACTCTTCCCCTGGATTCATGGATGTTATTTTGGCTCCTTTCACATCAGTTATCAAGTCAACATATTTCTTATTCATGGTCTGCCTAGTGGCTAAGAGCAGCCATTCCTTGAAGTATTTAGTGAGTGCCTACTATTTGCCAGGCCTTGTTTTACAGCAAAACAAAAAATCCATGCCTTTATAGAGGCGAGCAGACAATAACAAAACAATCTAGGCTGGGCACGGTGGCTCATGCCTATAGTCCTAGCACTTTGGGAGGCCGAGGTGAGAGGATTGCCTGAGCCCAAGGTTTCGAGACCCGCCTGGGCAACTTGGCGAGACCTCATCTCTACAATAAATCAAAAAATTAGCCGGGCGTGG